TGTGTCTTTTTACTGGATATAGGCAGGTCCAGGGAGTAATTATTCACACAATAATTATGTGGTATCTACAGGAGATGAGCCATTCATTTGTCTACAGGCAGAGCAGAATTACAAGCTATTTGATGGATAGTTGAAGGTCCTCCGGCCTCTTGTTCCTCTTGTGCCCCCTGACCATCCTCTTCTGTTGTTGTGTGTGCCACCAAGCCTTTGCTATTTGCCCAGACGGACCTGCTTTCCTCAGATGCAAGAGGATGCTGTTGCATTGCCAGTAGTTATCTGACACTGTGACCCACTCTCTGCTCTCAAGGCAACAGAGCCCATCTAGTCTTGGAAGCTAAGCAGGGTTGACCTTGGTTAGTACATGGATCAGAGACCACCAATAAATACCAGGTGCTGTAGGTTGCATTTCAGAGGAAGGAACTAATAAAACCACCTCTGAGTATTTCTTACCTAAGAAAACCCTATGAAATGCTATAAGTTGACATGCAACTTGGTTGACCAGATTTTCCTCTTTTCCAGGACATGTCCTCCATTTTAACCTTCTGGCCAGGAGGAATACAAAAATGTCCTCCATTTTGAACATGAATAAGAAACATGAATTTATATATTTATATGAGTGTTTTAGCTTTTATTTTGGAATTCCTACCTTTTTCTTGAATGTCCTACATTTCACAGTGTCTTGTCCTCCTTTGCAGTTAGGCTACCTGGTTACCTGCACACACACACGCACGTGTGCATAGATACAGAGCTGACGCTCTGGTTAGTCTCTGTATCTGGAATGTGGAAAGATTTACCATCTTGGCCTTTGCCTCTGGCGCCAAAATGCTATGGACCAAATCAAAAGAAAAGGTCTGGATGATGGTAAGCTCTTTATCACACAACACTGCTACAGTACTATTTTCCACTTTACGTGCCATGGTAAAATCCTGTGGAATCCTGGGATTGGTAGTTTGGGGGTGGCACCAGAGCTCTCTGGCCATATATATGTGTGTGTGTCTGTGTGTGCGCACGTGTGTGAATTCTACAGTTTAAAATCACAAATAAAAGATATTCACTGATTTCCATTGTATCGATACACAAAAGCCTGTTTAAATTTCATCAATTATTCTCAACTTCTTAATATACATTTCCATACAACTAACTTCCCTTTGACCCAGAGTTGGAATATTTCTCTGTCGCCTATAATTCTCATATTTTGAATATACTGACATTGTTATGCTATCTATATATGTATAATTTCTGTCATTTAGTTCACTTTAAACTCTGTGTCTCACTTAAACTTCACCAAAAATAACTATTTTACATCCTGATTTCAGAAAGAGAAACTTCTGCCCATATCTCATAAATTATAATATTTATGATTTCCATTCTTTTTCTGGCTGAGAATTCTAAATGCCTTTCTTTAAAATGCAAATCCCAGGATTCCCTAGGTTGTTTCCATGGCAATTAATGTGGAATATAATGCTATCACAGTGTAGGTTTACAGTTTGCACAGGAAGAAGCCTGACTGCCTCTCAGCATAAGAACAAGAGCGCTCCTTGGAACAGAGACTTTGCTCACTTGACCCCAGACGGCTTATAGTTTTACAATAAGTAAACTCTTACAGCTTCCTTTAGTAACCTTGTAGAACGGAGTTATTTCATTGCAAAGTATCCTTGAGACAGTTTACCTTACCCAGCACCCTTGTACAACAGGACAGGCTGTTTCTGCTTCTGATACACATATTTGGAATCAATAACCAAATGTTCAGTTAAAAGTGGCTTTTGTTTATAGACAAAGTGTAGCTCTGTTTGGAAAATCCACAGTGGTTATCTTGTTTGCTTCCTTGTGTCAAGTCAGTCAGCATAATTCCCAGTTTACAAGTCAACCATTACTTATTTTTGTTATTTTTGATGAGGGAGGGAACTAGACGTATACGTATAGGGGAGTGTTGTGGGTTGTAGTGTCTTGTGTCACTACTATACCAGGGGGTATCGTAAAGTTTGAATTACTGCCTTTAAAAAAAATTGACAAAGTTTGTTTTGATTTGTAGTTGTTAACTTATCTCTATGTACCATCCAGATTTACACATTTCTTGACCCTCCGAATACCGTTATTGTAGAAGTCTGCAGATTGCACCTTACAAGGATTTTACACTTTAGTCACTTCTGGCAGAACTTGTCACAAAAATAAAGGGCACAATGAGCTGATTTTCTTAACATCATGCACTTAGGGACCAATGATGACACTGACAAAATTTCATCAATATCCCATAATAACTGCCAGGTGATAATTATTACTTTACGATATCTCCTCGTAAGGTGCATTCTGCAGACTTCTACAATTTCAGATATTTGAAGGGTTAAGAAACGCTGGGGAAAATGTGTCAATCTGGATGGTGACTACATAGAGATAAGTTAACAACTACAAATCAAAACAAACTTTCTGTCAATTTTTTTTAACTATGATAATTAAAACTTTACAATACCCCCGCATATAGTTTATATGTCTATGCAGTGATTCCCAAACGTTTTGTTCTCCATATGTTTTGGACTTAAACTCCCAGAAGCCCCAGCCAGCTTGGCCAACAGTCAGGAATCACTGGAACTGAAATCCTAAACATCTGGAGGACCAAAGTTGGGGAACTACCGACATACAGTTATGTATGTGTTTATATATCATTAGAGATATACCTGAAAAATAAGCACAGGTCCCAGTTTACAGATGTCAAACTGAGAAGTAGGGATGGTGAATCACTGAGGGCTAATTTAACCAGTCTATCCCTGGATATTCAGGAATTTAAACTCAGCGTTAATCCGTGGGCTCGTCTTTTAAACTCACCGTTAATTCCATGTGCTCTTCTTTTCCTCTCTATGCTTATAAGAGAAAAGTGTGTTGCTTGTGTCCTCACAGAAGGGCACCCCGGGACATGCGGCTCAAGGAACAAGGGTGATTTGCATTCTTCAGAGGTTGCTGACACAGCAGAGGGTCCCCTTAGCACAGGAGTGAGGAAGGAGTCCACTTGGCAGCTATGGCAGGAGAGTGCAAGTGGTTTCAGTCAGGAAAGGTATCAAGAATCATAGAATCCTAGAGTAGGAAGAGACCACAAGGGCCATCCAGTCCACCCCCTGCCATACAGGAAAGTCCACTTTCATCAAATCCCTGATATGTGATCCGAAGTGGAAGGTACAAAGTTTAGGCAATTGATTTCGCCTTAGGGTCGCCATAAGTCGGAAACAACTTGAAGGCACACAACAACAACAACAGCATTGAGATCAGAATGAAATACAAAAATAAAGTGACAATTACATTTTAGCGTAACATTGACCAATCATCAGTTCAAAACAGTGATGGTGACAACACAAACAGCTTGGCAGTGGAAGACTAATGCATGTAGTACGAAAAATCCCAATTAATGCAAGAGGCTGATAGAACGGAATTGCTTGATAAATTGCAATTTTGCTGTTTTATACTGTGAAGGTAAACTGTCCACAAATAGCCACCTTAAAGTTAGTGGCAGACTGTTCTAATACAGTAGACCTTAAGCTATCATATGTGGGGGACTGGCAATTCTTTCTCCCAGTGGACTGAGGACCAGTGTCATATTCAGATCACTGGCTACAGTTGCTTCTTTCTTTCCTGGAAGTTTTACAGGGACTGATAGCAGAAGGTTCAGAGGCTGGCACTGATCTATGGACAACTGCTTTGAAGCTGACAGTAAGGGCAGTTCGACAGTGGAACACACTCCTTCCTCGGAGAGTAGAGGAGTCTCCTTCCTTGGAGGTCTTTAAACAGAGGCTGGATGGCCATCTGTCAGGGATGCTTTGATTGGGAGTTCCTGCATGGCAGGGGGTTGGACTAGATGGCCCTTGTGGTCTCTTCCAACTCTATGATTCTATGACAGTGTCATGGTAGAAAAACAACACCTGATGCTAAGATCCCTTGTGCAGGGGTGTAGCTGCATGTGGGGGGCAGTGGCGGTGGGGAATGATAGCATTGCTCCCATACAAGAATTCTGCCACCCAAATGAAAATCCCCTTCGGTTCCTGCATTTCCAACATGGCAGAGAGTAAGATATTGAAAAATCATTCATGCCTAAAACTCTATATTTACTGTGTTTGCATCCCCTTGGTTGCTTTGCCTATCCCTTTTCTTTGGATTTCTAAACTGTATTTCTAAATGTAGCGAGATCTTGTAGCACCTTTGAGACTAACTAAAGAAAGAAGTTGGCAGCATGAGCTTTCCTAGATTTCAGTCTTATTCCTCAGATGCATTTGGTGGAGTGGTAAGCCAGGGACAGACTTATATATGCCCTAGCTGTGCGAGAATGTCAATTTGAATTCAAAATCCTTTGTGTATGGAAATGAAGCTGCAAGCTCAGTTATAATGATGGGCAGTTTGTGAACAAAGGCATTGTGAATAGCCTTTGTGCATGGAGATGAAGTGGCAAATCCAGTTTGGCAATGGAACTAGCCTGTGGTAAAGAGAATAGATGAATGTAGGATGCCCCCATGAGGATGGGGTCAGATAGTGTTGAAGTGTGTGTAGTGTGCAGTGTTCAATCCATTGCTGAGGGACTGTAGTTTGTGGATGAACCCCAATTCTAGACTAACATGGCTATATCTTTATATTTCTAAATGTTCAACCGAAGTTTTCTGCAACACAAGAAATATGGGGACAGACTAAAAACTTAATTCTTACCTCTATTTTCCTCTGCTGCCTTTTTCAAAATGCTGACAGGAAATCCATTACCTCTCAAAATTATAACAGGAGTTCTCGTTAGCTCTAGCTGGCTATGGTTAATGGGAGTTGCCATCTAATACATTTTGGAGGGCTGCATTTTGCCTACGTGATTACTTTGTTCTTTTTGTGTGCCTTTAAGATATTTCCGACTTATGACAACCCTAAAGGCAACCTTATCATGGGGTTTTCTTGGCAAGATTTGTTTGGAGGAGGTTTGCTATTGCCATCCTCTGAGGTTGAGAGAGTGTGACTTGCCCAAGGTCACTCAGTGGGTTTATCTGTCCAAGCTGGGATTCGAACCCTGACCTCCAGAGTCATAATCCAAAACTCAAACCACTATGCTAGCAAACATGCAGGTGGGATTACTATTTATTCTGAAAAAAAGCAAAGAGGATCCACACCTAAAGGAAATACAGCGCTTTTTTGGGAGCCTACACACCAACAGAAAGCAAAGGAATGGGTCTCAGAGGTATGCATATGAAATACCAGCATGCACCTATGGGAACTGAGGCATTAATGTATCATGGCTGTGGCACATGGGCTCCCAGTGCCCAGACGCTGTGTCGCCCTTGTTTACTGTGACATATTTGCTAAGAACTTTGCAAATAGAAATCACATTTCCAGCCAGACGTAATTGTTAAGACAGCAAGACCAGTCCTCTACAAGATCAGACCAAGGTCTGTCTAATCTAATCCAGTGTTTTGTTTCTAGTACTAGCCAGTCAGGTATGTCTGCAAACATGCAGGTGTGATTTTATGAACATAGGCCAAGAAGAGTGTATGCTGTGCCCAGGCATCATTCCTGTGGAGGATGGTAAAGCTGCCCTTTACTTCTTATAACCGGAGGCTGGCAAGCTTTTTAAAAGACTATAAACCATTGAGCATTCTGGCTGGGAGGATTCTGTGAATTGTAGTCTAAAAGAATATAATTTTTCAGGCTTTGACCTTAATATATGAGCGATGGAAACGTCTCTTCATAGTCTTTAGCTTGGTTTGTTTGTATGAGTCATCTGGGGAGAGAGCTCTGAAATGCACCTTTGGTTACTTAAGGCTCCCCACTAATAATCTCTTTATACCCTCCAACTGTCCTGATTTGGCAAGGAGAGAGCCCATTAATCCTCTGTTGCTTGCTTTTGCAGAGACTTTTAAAATGTCCCAGTTTCTCTTTACTTCTCCCACTTTCTCCCTTCATCCTCAATTTACTTCCATTGTTGCACATGGGATTCAAAATGGAAAAGTGGTTTGCACTTGATTTATTGGTGGCAGATTGTACTGTTGAGAGTCAGTGTGGCGTAGTGATTTGAGTGTTCGACTAGGACTCTAGAGACCATGGTCCAAACCACACTGCAAAAATAAGTTTGAGACCACTTTAACTGCCCTGGCTCAATGCTAGGAATTCTGGGAACTGTAGTTTTGTGAGACATTTAGCCTTCTCTGTCAGAGAGCTCTGATGCCACAATAAATGACAATTCCCAGGATTTCCTAGCACTGAGCTACAGCAGTTAAAGCGGTCTCAGATTGCATTCTTTCTGCAGTGTGTTTTGGACCCAGGATTCAAATCCCCTTTTTGGCCACAGAAATTCATTGGGTGATCTTGGGCAAGTCACAGACTCTCAGCTCCATAAGAACAAGGTGACTAGATGTCCAACAGAGTGACAAGATGTCCGAACCACAAAGGAGGACAAGGCACTACAAAATGTAGAACCTTCAAGAAAAATGTAAGATATTACTAAATAAAAGCTAAAAACACTCATAGAAATATAACTCCATGCTTCTTAGTCCTGCTCAATAAATTCATGCTTCTTAGTCCTGCTTAGTCCTGACCTTAACTTATACCCTACAGTTGGAAACCTCTCTTCAGTCTCTATCTTGGTTTGCTTCTATGAGTCATCTGGGGAGAGAGCTCTGAAATGGAGGACATTTTGGAATTCCTCCTAGACAGAAGGTGGAAATGTAGGACCTTTCCTGGGAAAGGAGAATGACTGGTCACCACGCACAGGAAGGCAATAGCAAACTCTCTCTGAATCAATCTTGTCAAGAAAACCCCATGATAGGTTCACTGAAGGTTTTCCATAAATTGAAGGCGCACAACAACATTTCTGTTTTACAGAGGTTTCCAAAAATCCTAAAACCATCACCAGTGCCACCACCCAGTCCTGAACCTGGTGAATTTGAGTCTTGTTTTTGTAGCCTGAATTATCATCTTGCAGTGTTCAGTATGTCATGTGGTATACCCTTCAAAACTCTTCTGAAAGTGAGTGTCAATACACACAACCACTTCCTTTTGCCGAGAGCACATAATGAATCCTCTGTCAGTTGCGCTAGCTTCCGGGATCAATTCAAAGAGTTGGTGGTGATTGTCAAAGCCCTTGACATCCTGGGTCTCCTATACCAGACACTGGCAGCTTGCAGACTCTGCAACCCTTTGAAAGCAGCAAGTAAAATAACCACCCTGCTAGGAGATACCACTTGCTAGCATACTGAGGAGGACCATTGTGGGACCACAGTTGTAAAACTTACTCCCTACGTTGATATAATTCTCTTTTAGAAACCAGGTAAAGACTCTCCTGTTTAGAAAGACATTATTGGATGTGTAAAAATAATTGTGTTTGCCATGTATTTCTTTAAAATGTTTTCTGCTGTACAGTTGGCCCTCCACATTTGCAGCTTTGACTTTTGCGGGTTTGATTATTTGTGGTTTCGATTAATATGTTCTCTCCAGAAATCTCTAGGTCCTCCAGCGCAACTCTGCTGGCAATTGACCATAGAGTTTTGCTGGAGAACCTGGAAGTTCCTAGAGAAAACACTTCTCTAGGCATTTGGAGGTCCTCCAGCATGATTCCATGATCAACATCTGGCAGATGTTGACCATAGAGTTGCTCTGGATGACCTGGAGATTCCTAGAGAGGTGTTCTCTTAGGTAAAAATAATAGGATTTTTTTTATTTGCAGTTTTTCCACATTCACAGGGGTCCTTCACCCCTAAGCCCAGTGAATGTGGAGGGAGCACTGTATTTGTATTTCCTGTTCAGTACAATTTTGGTCACATCCAGACTGACTGAAAAATTCCACATTTTCTTGTTCCTTCTGATTTTATGCTGAGGTCCAAAACACACTGCAGAAATAATCTAGTTTCAGACCACTTTAACTGCCCTGGCTCAGTGCTAGGGAATCCTGGGAATTGTACTTTATTGTGGCACCAGAGCTCTCTGACAGAGAAGGCTAAATGTCTCACAAAAGTACAATCCCCAGAATTCCACAGCATTGAGCCCAGGCAGTTTACATCAGTCTCAAACTGGATTATTTCTGCAGTGTGTTTTGGATCTGAATTAAAATAAACAAGCCTGAGGAGCTGGTAGAAAATATTCTGGGATAAATAAAACATGTATGGCTTTCCAAAATAAGATCAGAAAGAATAAGAACAAAATCTCAGATTTTTATGGTCTTTTTTTGATCCATGTGGATGCGCACTCAGTTGATAAACTACCATTTTCTTCAGTCTAAGCTAGTGGTTCTTAACATTTTATTTACCCTTTTAAATATTTTTTGCTGGTGTCACCTGGTGTGTGTGTGTGTGTGTGTATGTGGGGCTGCCGGGCGGACATCGGCCGCCAAAAGGACACGCTCATCTTTTCTCCTTTGCCACAACAGCAGCCTCCTTGTGAAGAGGCATTTGCCACTGTGGTGAAACTGGGCTGGGCATGTTCGGCCTTCTCTTTCACCATGGTGGCAGCCTCCTCCTTGTCAGAAGATCATTGTTGCCATGGTGAAGCCACACCAGGTGCGCTTGGCCTTCTCTTTCACTGCAGTGTCCTCCTCGTGAGGAGACCGCTGCTTCTGTAGTGAAGCAGGGCTGGGCACCTTCGCTTTTGCTGTGGCGGCAATGGCCTCTTCATGAGGAGACCTTTGCCGCTGTGGCGAAGAAGAGCTGTGCGCGCTCGGCCTTATCTTTCGGTAGCAACCTCCTCGTGAGGAAAACATTGCCGTCGCAGCAAAGCAGGCCCAGGGGCACTTGGCCTTCTCTTTTGCCATGTTGGCCTCCTTGTGAGGAGACTGTTGCCGCCATGGTGGAGTCAGGCTGGGAGCAC